GTGAAGAAAGATATATCGATTTTATTCAATGAACAGACCAATAATGTTATTAGTGTTTCTGTCCTATCAGTCAGCTGCTGGTCGCCTGTTCAGGTTTTTAGACCTAGGATGTTACTCTGTCACTGAGGACTTCAAGTTTAAAGATTCGAATTACTATCAAGCTACATACGTCTTTATAAAAGACGCGGAAATGCGAGTGTAGAGTCCTCCATTTGAGCCTTATTCTGATATTCCATACAAGTCATCAGATCAAGTACTAATAGAAAACGCTTTCCGTCTTTGACAAACAGATTACTAATCAGATACTTAGTAGTGTTCAGATGTGTGAAAGAGGCATGTTTCGACTGAGAAGTAATATGGGAATTTTGTTTCATAAAATGATAACAAGCCAAAATAATGCGGCAGCTTATATCTCATCAGAATCCTGCTGACTTCAGGATTACTCAGGTTGATGATTAATTTTTGTATCACGTCATCCCCAAAAGTAAACTAGTGTTAATTTGTCAACTACCTATCGGGCAAGACCAGACTTTGGTTCTTTTGAACCCTGTTGATCACGATATAGTACTTCAATGTATCCTAAAGCATAGTTTATCTGAGATGTATGGCTTAAGACAGTTACAAATAAAAGGGTGGTGACAACTGACAATCCTAGTAACCTACTAAACGCATTAAGTTTCCATCAAACGCTAGAGTGTTTCCCGTTCAATACAAACTACAACATTTTGACGAGTTTGTCTGTTTAGATTATCCAAATTTATCGTTTTCGACAACTTATGCAATTTCTTAAACTGAAATTACTATAATATCCCACACGTTTGTAGTGACCTGCTTTTGTCAACGAGAAAGCGATTGGTATAATGGAAACAATTATTATTATGACCAATTGTACCAGTGATTGTTTTATCGTACTCGTTTTCGTTTAACTGTATCAAAATCACTTCTCGTTCCGCTGTCCAACTTGTTCGTTCGAACACGCTTACGCTCTGCTCTTATTGCCTGTAATCTTTGGCGCGTCTCGGTATTCATTCGATACCACGAGATTGCCAATAAATGTACTTTATCTGGACCAGTTACAGCCTTCTGGTTTAACAGCTATCAAAGGGACCAAGTCGATTTTGAGTGCGTAATCTTATTGTAGTGGTGATCATAGTCAATCGAGACTCTACGCCATCTACAAGTTGTTTGATAACCTAGTATACTTTGATTGTTTATTTCTATTGTACATGCTAATTGATTCAAGTAAATGAACATAAATCCAGGAACATTTGAACTTTATTTCTTACTTTATTCATTGGTGGTCGCTCATCGAGTCTAAACATAAAGAGTATAATGGTAATTTGCATCAAATTTGAAACTGGTGTCTTAATTGACACCTTTCTTGCTCAATAATGAAAAACTAGGTAGTAGATAAACTATAGGATTCAGGTTATATTCATGATGTACTAATAAACCAAATATTTTTTGAAATGTTTGTTCGCAACATTAACGGGTTTCAAAAACTAGACTTGGGAACGATTGACGAGTGAAAACAGATAATGAGAACAATATCCCTTCCTGTAGTGACAAGTTTCAGTAGTGGGATAAGTTTCAATAGCCACAGTAACACGAAGTCATATAGTGTAAAATCAACATAATTTCTGAAACAATGGGATTGACAACTAGCTGACTATCATTCATCTATGACTCAAAACTGTTAATAACATAATCCAAATCACATAAAAATAACATCATCAATAAGAGAATCGTATAAATGAGTATATTCAGGTAATTGAAACATGAGCAACCGGAAAGAAACTACAGACTGAACGAAACAAGACAAAACATGCACAGTGAATTAAAGTAATGGTGGAGTGGACGGGCATCACACATTGGTGCAACCGATCTTGTGATATAATCCTAACCTAAATATGGTCATATGACGCGAAATCTTTAAATATTGAGTCGAAAAAATTTGACAGAAGTAAATGGAAGAGGTAATCAGATTTCCTCTCGAAGGTAATTCTTGGATTATAGCTGACGTCAGTTTGTATTAAAAAACCCTGTAATTCATGCGTAAATGTCCACTTTTCATGTTAAATGTATCTATCAATTATAATTGGGATAATTCTCTTTGTCACAATTCGTTGGATAAACTATAGTGTAAAGGGTATTAGAATATCATATTGCCCATGTGAGGGGCTGTATCGTGTCTGTGCCCACTAACAACGTCCGACAGGTCTTTTATTTCTGACATTAAATTATCAAGCATTTAGAGCACCCTTACCTTCACCTCGAAGTTTGTGCTGATGATGTCTTTCAGAAGGACGGTGAAAGCTCCACGACCAAACCATCCAGCTCAGAGAACAAAACCACATCAAAGTAGAATATACTCTCTCGCCCGAGACTTTAGGTCGATTGTTAGAAAAACAAGCCTGAAGATCAGAGATATGTTAATTATTTGTTTATATTCCATCAAGTTTTGAATGTCCCATTATTTTGTACCTCTCATTCTCCGACTTATTTGTTCATTGTTTATCTGTCTGAGTGAATATGAATTGTGAAAACACAAAAACTATTTGTTGAATATAAGTCAAGGAGTAGAAAAACTGGACTAATTAGTGATATCATATTTTGCACCGCCCATAAATCATGGTCAACTAACTAAAAATATAGCACTCAGGTTTGTGTAAAAAGTTCTCTTGTTGTAATGTTTTAGGTTTAGCCCACTGTATATATGGTTACATGAATTGATAACATCAACAGTTAAGATAGTGAGGAAGATTTGTAGCTCAGGTGGGTGATTTTTATGTTGGTTTGTTCTCTGAGCTGGATGGTCTGATCGTGGAGCTTTCATCGTCTTTCTGAATGACATCGTCACCACAAACTTCGGGTAGAATTGAAGTGTTCAAATTTCTCCACATGTGGTTCACAGCTTGTCCTATACACCTTAATGTTGATTGGTCCTTATTGACCTCAAATTTGTCATTGTTTACTTTTTTGTTTTCATTGTATCTCCCATTGGTTTGATTTTTGTTCCTACGTTTCTGCGAAATTTTCCTGATAGGTTGATAAATTGGATTGATTTCAATTAGCTTGTTTATCACTGATTGACCTGAGTGCCAAGCTTCTAGAAATTCTCTGGTATTTTTGGAATTGCCTCTATCCAAAATCTGCACATTTTCCCAGTCGAATGTGTGTCCGCAGTTATTCACGTGCATTGATATAAGTGAAGACATGTCATGGAGTTTGACTGCTAATTGATGTTCATACTGGAGAAGATGAATAGGGCATCTGCTTTGTCCGATGTAATGTTTGTCGACACAGCTGTGAACCACATGTAGAGAAATCCGAAGAAAACTATTTCAAATCAACAATTAAATTACTTGTAACCACACATCTACCTTCCTGATGTACTGAAATGTATTTTTAAGAATACGTAAATGTTCATTGTCTAGTAAGTTAGCTGATTTATTATTCGATACCTTGGAAAATACACGATATTAGGGATGGCAAGGGATATTTTTCTAATCTGCACAAAACGTGATAAATATTCCTTAATGTCCAATAGAGGAATCTATACCTGAAGACTTAACATTGTCCTATATAAATGGCAAAGTTTCACATAACAACTGGTAGTATGTCCTTTCTTTTATGAAAATTGTGGAAGTGGAATATTTATCGTTGTAAGTATTTATTTAAACTGAATTACATCTGTCATTCGGTTTACGTAATGTTATCTCTTAGTCAACTATTTTTTGGTTTAACTTACAACTGGGAGATTGTGGGCTTCATTCAACAATGAGATGTACTGGAATATTATTGTTACTAAGATTGTAGTTGTTAAGTTTGTTTCACACTCAGTCCTTATTCACTACCCTTCGACTCTTTTGTGTTATTTTGTGTACTACTTATTAATATTCAGTATACAGTTGTATTTCTCGCAATTTCTGCGCTTATGTTGTGTTGTAAGTTTGTCGTGTAATTTTCATCACTTTATCTCAATCATGGAGGCAGTTATTCACAATTTGTGTATTTGTTTAATCCTTGTTTGAACGCAACAGTTCCAATATCGTTTGCTCTTGAACCTATTTCTGCTCGTTGATAAACCGTCATCAAGTTTGGACACAGCCAACGGCTGTCATTTTACACTAATGCAACCTTTATATTTCAGACAAAAAGATGCGGTAAACACCATAGACACCTTAAAAGTTGAGGTTTGTAACTAATTTTTGTATCTTGTCCAATAAAGAGCCGCTATTTTAAACAAATCATTGTTTTGTGAACTTCGACTTTGCGCCTATCTCAGTTAGGTAATCTGGACACTTCGATAGATTTAACAGGAGATAACAAAATTGGGTTAACAGTATGACTAGATACTGGCTTACAGTTTCGTCTGTTTTAATTATTCTAGCTAACTCACAAAGATATTAAGAGATATATAATTAGAAAAAGATAGTAAAACAAAGTGTATATCTAGATTTTAATCACTTTATAATAAAGTAAACAAAACTTAATCTTTATCAGAGGAAGGTTTTGTGGAGATTTTAGTGGTTTTATATAGTTGAAATCATGAGTCAATTGAAGCTAGATCACCATGGAAAACCTGGAAGCACTCTGGACGGCTGTTTCGTCCTAGTATGAGACTTCTCAACAATGCCCATTCACGATCTTATCTCGTGAGATTTGAAACCAGGACCTATCAGTCTCACGCGCGAGCACTTAACTTCTAGACCACTGAGCCCACTTCCAGATTTTCCATGATGATCTACATTTCATTGACTCCTCAACGGCCGTCTGTAGTGCTTCCAGGTTTTCCATGATGATCTACCGTCAATGGACTCATGATCTCAACTATATAAAAAAAACTTAATTTTTGTTTAAAACAGTTCGATGTTATTTAAAATAAAGAAAAAAAAATTGATTAGAAAAATATCTGAGTTTTTCAACAACAAAAAATATTCCTAGTTCAATATTCAATATACACAAAACGGAAAAAAACGAATGAGTGTACATTCAGAAAGATATTAGATCAATGGGAAGACGAGAAATAGTAGGGACATATAAGTAGTCTATAATGTAGTATAGATGATATAAGCAGCAATAAGAAAATCTCTGTTTTATTCATTGAAAATATAATCTATTCTGTTGAATTGGTGATGGTATGGATGGTAATAGAAATATCCCTGAACTTAATAAATCATTGTTTAAGAAACCTGAAGTCAGCATATTCGTTGCATTGACAGGTACTATCGGTGTAGATGATGATGATGATGAGGAGGAGGAGGATAAAGACGATGATGGAGTTATGTAATTTGAATGGTTTGTAATGGTTGTTACATTGGTCGGTGGTATTAAACATGCTGCTCCTATAACATATTTATTTGATCTTAAACTACCATTTGGACAATAACGTACTGCAGTTTGAGCATCTAATGGATTATTAAAATTTGCTAAGAAATTTGCAGTTCCATTTGGATGATATTGAAATGGTATAAAGTATGGTTGAGCCTTGAATTGAAATAAAATGTTTTATGTGAAATCTGTTGTGAAATAATATTGATTACATCCATATAAGTTACTTACTTACTTACTTTTTTACTTACGCCTGTTACCCCTCGTCGAAGAGCATAGACCGCTCACCAGAATTCTCCATACAACCATGTCCTGAGTCTTACTTTCCAGTTCTTTCCAGTTAACATTCATCATTTTCATATCTGCTTCTATTTCCCGACGTAATGTGTTCTTTGGCTTTCCTCTTTTCCGCTTCCCTTCACGATTCCAAGTTAGCGCTTGCCTCTTGATGCAGTTTGGTGATTTCTTCAATGTATGTTCAATCCATTTCCAACGTATTTTCCTAATTTCCTCTTCAGCTGAAAGCTGATTTGTCCTCTCCCATAAAAGGCTGTTGCTGATAGTATCCGGCCAATGGATATTGAGTATTTTGCATAGACAACTATTTATAAATACTTATACCTTCCTGATGATGGTCATAGTAGTTCTCCACATTTTAAATCCGTACAGTAGGACTGTCTTGACGTTCGTATTAAAGATTCTGACCTTGAAATTGGTTGACAGTTGTTTTGAGTTTCATATGTTCTTCAATTGTAGAAATGCTGCCATCACCATATAAGTAGAATAACTTTATTCTCTGTTGCTAGAGAAGCTATTTGTAACTTCACCTAATGGAACCTCTTTATTCAGACATCGATCATTGATCACATCTTTGATTGATGTGAAGAAGATGACTGATTCAATGTACATTCATTAGTTAATACTAAACTTTTACAAATCTCATAATCATTTGCTTGATGAAATCCCCTCATTCTAAGTTTAATAAGGCTATTTGACTAGCTGTGTGCATAATAACATATTTTTTTTAATCTTTGTTTCGTCAATTACTACTGACAGAGTGATTAGTCAGTGAGTAGACTTAATGGGAACTATTACAAAACAGTGAGACATTGTCAAGGTGATTTATGGATGGTGGCTAGAAATGGAATCTAGGGTGCGCTTTTCATTTTATATAGGACTTGTCAGCTGGATGTACCTGTATCAACTCTAGAATTCAGATATATCCAGCTGACTAGTCTCAAATAGGTGAAACACACTTCCTGGATTCCACAGCTAGCCACTGTCCATCTTCGCTTATAAAATTTGTGACTTAAAACAATTTTGTGGCAATCTAAACAGGATGCACATATGTCAACAAGAGACCGATCAATTGCAATCTCAAAAAACAAAAAACAAAACATCAATGGAAAGATACTAGCAAACAATATCATGTGAATTTAAAACATCTCAGAGATATGAAAACTAATTATTAGTGGCAACTAACTTATCACTCCATAATGTGAAAGAATTGTATACTAATCAACACATTAAGTTCATATTCTACCTTTAGTAGACAAATTCCATAACTGTATACTGAATTAAACCTTATTATCTAGTTGTAGAATCAATTTTTTTGTTAGATTATTAGATCATTTCAACTTAACTGGTATTATACATTATTAGACAAATAAAACTCATTATCGACTTTTATAAAGGTGAATACTAAGCAAATTGAATTATCAGAAGAACTTATACTTTTCAACATTTAATTAGATTAAGTATAAATGTAAATTTCGATAATGCAATGAGAAGACGAAGATTATCAGAATTATGTGTTATATTAGCGCAATACATTTCGAACAATCTGATCAAACCTAATATACTTGTTAAGACATTTTTTTATATGAAAATAAATAAAGTACACAAAAACAATGTGATGACTACTCTGGATAATAAATCAGCATTACTAGGGTACATCCAGCTAACGAGTCCCTATAGCAACTCAGATACAATTGAGTTTGTTTGCATCTAATTCAGTTAAGCCCTTTTGTTAACTTATTTAATGGACAGTCATTCATACAATAACAGCCCATCTATACCATTTCACTTTTATTATATACGCTTGATCATTGCTTACTGCCTACGCATATATTCATTCCGCTAGCATTATTATTAATCGCTTATTTGATCCGATGATTCATGCTTTTCCGCTTATATATATATGTACATCTTAATCCTGTTTACTGCTCTACTGCTCTTGCCCTGCTTGCTCTCTGCTCTGCTCTGTATTACGCTACACCGTACTGTATATGCTTACTCATTCATCCGGCTCTATGGCACTGCTTTTTCATGCTTGTTTGACGTACCTGTAATATTGGATAACTGTGTGTGGTTCAGCAGTAAACACGATCAACCCTTCGTATTCGTCTTCTGATTTATACATCGTTAGGACGTTGTCGAGTAACGGTTATCAAGACGAACAATATACGAAGCTTAGGGATAGTACCGAATATCGACCACCACAGAATTGGAAGCCTCGCCGAGCGATCACAAAACAATTTTCGACGATATAATCTAATCCCGAAAATTCAAAGCGCTGCGTCTCAAATCGGATTATTATTTGTATCATAATCATAATTGTGGATTTATTAGATTCTAACTCACAAACATTGAACTTAACGATTATATTCATACTAAATAACGATCATTCACAAACAATTGATATATTGGTGCGATTTAGTAAGTCTGTTCCATTTTATAAATTGTACCATTTATTATTATCATTGTTTCTGTCCGTCTATTTTTTTTGTGACATCTATATCATATTTGTGTACTACTCAAAAATTTTTTTTGTAAGCATGTCTTCCGAAAACACTATGTCAAGTGTACAGCAAACTTCGTCCGTGAGAACTTTCAACCTTCCAGTCCCCTCTTTTAAGGTTACCGACCCTCAGCTGTGGTTCATTAGACTCGAAAACTATTTTCTGGCTAGTCGTATTAACTTACAAAGAGATAAATTCGGCCTCACAAGCACTCTCCTCCCAGACGAAGTAGCAGAAAGCGTACGAGAGGCGTTATCTAAACCGGATACTGAAAGGCCATACGATGTACTAAAGCAGACAGTAATTAAAGCAGTCGCACTAAGTGACCAACAAGCTGTTGAGCAGCTTCTCAACCAGGTACAAATGGGGGATAGAACTCCATCACAGTTAAAAACTCATATGAAAAGTCTACTAGGTGATAGAAAAATAGACAATAACTTATTTTATCAACTGTGGCTTCGCCGACTCCCGTCCAGTATTCAGCAAATCTTAGCTGTTGGAGATACTGACGCTGACATAGACAACATAGCGAAAATAGCTGATAGAATATACGAAAGAGCAAAACAAGCAAGCCCTCAATCACACAGCGTGACAGTAGACGATAGAATCAGTACTCTGCAGAAAGAGATAGATGTTTTATGCCACAAGCTCACAGAGTTGACCCAGAGCGAGAGACCACGAAAATTATCACGAGTTGGCACGCGCGAGAGAAGCCGATCAGCTTCCAGAAGACGCGCAACTCCGCTGATATGTTGGTATCATCAAATGTATGGTTACAGAGCAAGAAAATGCTTACAACCTTGTAGATTTAGCACGGCAAGTAAGCGGTACCCTCGGTTGTCCATGGCAACGCCTGCAGCGAACACAAAGCCCTCAAACAGCCGCCTATTTTATATACAAGACCGAATGACAGGCACTCAATTCTTGGTGGACACGGGGGCTGAAATTAGCGTAGTACCCCCAGTATGTGACGACAAAAGAAACCTTAACAATTCATTGGTTCTAAAAGCGGCGAATAAATCAGATATTAAAACATATGGCAAACGAATGTTATCCTTAAATTTCGGACGAGGCGCGACATACCGCTGGGATTTTGTCATAGCAGACGTATCGGTACCTATAATAGGCATCGATTTCTTATGCAATTTCAATTTACTAGTAGACTCACGGCGCCACAGACTCATAAACGGTACCCATACTACTTCGATTACGGGAATACTTACAGAATCTGTTTCTATGAACCTAGTGGTAGATAAGAGCCGCAACGACCCACGCAAATTATTGTTAAACGAGTTTCCAGAGCTTTTAAAAGTAACGTACAATAAAACAGATCTCAAGCATACTATACAACACCATATTATAACCAACGGGCCACCGGTTAATGCAAGGCCAAGAAGATTAGACCCAAAAAGGCTAGCAATAGCAAAGCAAGAATTCGACAAGTTAATGAGGCTGGGCATAATAAGGCCTTCGAACAGCCCGTGGGCATCCCCATTACACATGGCTCCGAAAAAGAACGGAGAATTAAGACCATGTGGAGACTATCGAGCACTTAATAAGCAAACAATGGCCGATAGATACCCTATACCACACATCCATGATTTTACCTACAGTATAGAAGGTGCTACAGTATTCTCGAAGATTGACTTAGTTAGAGCGTATTATCACATCCCGGTCGCTCCACAAGACATACCAAAAACAGCAGTAACAACCCCTTTTGGGCTATATGAATTCTTACGCATGCCTTTCGGACTGACTAATGCAGCACAAACATTTCAACGGTTTATTGACCAGGTCATCAGAGGCTTACCTGGAGTATACGCATACATAGACGATTTACTAGTAGCCAGCACCACTATGGACGACCACATACAGCAACTACGGCAATTATTCGCGCGACTAAGAGATCATGGTATTTCCATAAACATTGAGAAGTGTGAGTTTGGAAAAGGATCCTTACAGTTCCTTGGACACATGGTAACTTCTCAAGGTATCACACCGATCTCTACAGAAATCGATACCATTAGAGACTATCCGTTGCCCGATACACGAAAGAAATTACGACGATTTCTGGGACTAATAAATTATTACAGACGTTTTATTCCGAATTGTGCGGCAATACTTCAACCACTGACCGATGCGTTACGGGGACACTCCCGGACATTCCAATTATCAGCAGAGGCAATACAGGCCTTCGAGAACGCCAAGAAGGCACTCAACAAAAAGACGACATTAGCTAGAAGAAAGAGCGAAGCACCGTTAGCTATCATGACAGATGCATCGAATGTGGCGGTAGGAGCTGTTTTACAACAGTTAGTGAATGGCACATGGGAACCGCTTTCATTCTTCTCAAAGAGACTGAATCCTACGCAAACGAGATATAGTACTTTCGGAAGAGAATTACTAGCAATTTACTTGGCAATAAAACATTTTCGACATATGGTAGAAGGCATAGATTTTGCAGTTTACACAGACCACAAACCACTCACGAACGCACTAAGCGCAAAGCAAGATAATTACTCTCCGAGGGAGATCAGACAATTAGAGTTTATTTCCCAGTTCACTTCTGATATACGATATATTACAGGCCAAGAAAACGAAGTAGCTGACGCACTATCAAGAACGACGATAAATACTCTCGTCCAATCCGAAATCGATTATCGCGAATTAGCAGAATTACAAAATATAGATGTCGAGTTAAACAGACTGAAGTCTGACAATACAACCTCTCTGGTACTAAAAGAAACTTCAATCGAAAACGTGAGTATTATGTGCGATATTTCTACGGGCCGACCAAGACCATTTATTCCGAAGCCTCTAAGACGAAAGGTTTTCGACACTATGCATAACATATCACATCCTGGGATAAAGGCCACAATCAAATTAATCAGCGAACGTTTTGTATGGCCAAGTATGAACCGGGATGTTCGTAATTGGACGCAAACTTGCATAAAATGCCAAAAAGTTAAAGTTCATCGTCACACCAGTTCCGCAATAGGTCCTTTTCGTCATCCTGATAGCAGATTTGAGCATATACATATTGACATTGTAGGACCGCTGCCGATTTCAAACGGCTTTAGTTATATTTTTACCTGCATTGATAGATTTACGCGATGGCCTGTAGCAGTACCCATAAAAGACATTTCGGCCGAAACTATAGCCAAAACCTTAGTAGAGCATTGGATCTCTCATTATGGTGTGCCTGCACACATTACAACCGATCGAGGAGCCCAATTCGAGAGCCACCTCTTTCAACAACTCACTGAACTCCTAGGAATCAAGCGTATTCGGACAACATCTTACCATCCGATGGCGAATGGTATGGTAGAAAGATTACATCGGCAACTCAAAGCATCTCTTACATCTGTTATTAGCAATAATGATTGGGCCAGCAAGCTCCCATTAGTCATGTTAGGTTTAAGATCAACAATTAAACAAGATATAGGATGCTGCCCAGCAGAGTTGGTTTATGGAACCACTTTACGTCTTCCAGGAGAATTTTTCACCTCAAGTAAAAGTGTTCCAACTGATTTAGCCAGCTATGTACAACGTCTAAAGCAGCATATGAGTAATCTAAGAGTAACACTTCCGAGGCAACATCAACAACGTGTGTACATACCAAAACAACTGAGCGACAGTACCCATGTGTTTATTAGAAGGGATAATGTGCAGCGTCCCTTACAACCAGCTTACGATGGTCCATTTAAAGTTATTAGAAGAAATGATAAAACTATTACAATAGATAAGGCCGGAAAAACGGATGTAATTAGCATAGACCGAGTCAAACCAGCTTTTATCGAAGCTGACGATCAGCCAGTATATACAGATCATTCGAAAATCGTCGAGTCACCGAAACGTGAGTCTCAATCATCAACGACATCGACGAACAAAAACGAAGAGAAACCAGTAACGACAAGATATGGTCGAAGAGTAAGATGGCCTCAACGATACATAGCTACGATTTTGAACTAATAATTTCTTTCCTCTTCGTTTAGTATGGGCACATCGAAAACTCTAATTTATCTATTATTATATTCAGAAAATTTTGCATATTCTAATGTCAATGTATATAAACCTCTAAAAACGCTAACACATTATTTTGATCTGTTATTTTATCTGGCCTCACGGATATATGCGAAAACAAACTTTCACGTACTTGTAGTAACTCACACGATAGTTCTATCATACATCTTAATTTCATAAATTTTGATATTTACTGTCCTGTTAAGTTTAACATTTTTAATTCGCAAACACAGACACTATTTTGTATCCATGTTTGCTGGGGGGGAGCTATTATAGCAACTCAGATACAATTGAGTTTGTTTGCATCTAATTCAGTTAAGCCCTTTTGTTAACTTATTTAATGGACAGTCATTCATACAATAACAGCCCATCTATACCATTTCACTTTTATTATATACGCTTGATCATTGCTTACTGCCTACGCATATATTCATTCCGCTAGCATTATTATTAATCGCTTATTTGATCCGATGATTCATGCTTTTCCGCTTATATATATATGTACATCTTAATCCTGTTTACTGCTCTACTGCTCTTGCCCTGCTTGCTCTCTGCTCTGCTCTGTATTACGCTACACCGTACTGTATATGCTTACTCATTCATCCGGCTCTATGGCACTGCTTTTTCATGCTTGTTTGACGTACCTGTAATATTGGATAACTGTGTGTGGTTCAGCAGTAAACACGATCAACCCTTCGTATTCGTCTTCTGATTTATACATCGTTAGGACGTTGTCGAGTAACGGTTATCAAGACGAACAATATACGAAGCTTAGGGATAGTACCGAATATGGACGACCACAACATCCCAAATAGGATAAAACGCGCGTCCTGGATTCCACTGCTAGCCATTATCCATCTTTGCTTATTATCAGGGTAGGTTAAGGGTAAGAACAAATTGTTTTTGAACACATAAAGAGGGTTTCAATTTCCGTATAGTCAAGGCTTCAATAAACCTTAGTATACGTCCTTGAAGGCTTTTGTACAACACTACAAATGCTGATTTGATGTCAACCTTATGACCAGTTTCAACTAAATGTTTCGCAATAGAGGAAGATGCTTGTCTATCCTGTGATCTTATTTCACTATTCGAATTCATTTGGTTCTGTAGCCATTTAGGTATGTGTTCCGCCACCCTTATTTGCAAATCACGATTGCTCCTCCCTATGTACGTGTTTCTGCATATACATGTAAATTGGTATGCACAATGGGTGTGACGCAATCGCTTATGTGCTGTCTAGGTTTTTGATGAAACATCGACCTTGTCTTTTCAATGATGACAAGTTGAGCTGCATAGAATGTCCTATTTATGGCTAATTTTAGTCTCCGTCTTAACATGAGACTATTAGAGTCACTTCTAAATGGTAATGTAATATAAACTCGCTTTTTGGGTGCCAGAAGCGTAATAGGTCTAATCGTATTGCAACCCTTCCAGCGGTTTATGAACTTAAATGAATAACCGTTATTCATTAACGTATTAGTTAGAAGCTTCGTTTCTATTTCAATAGTATCACTAGTACAAATACGATTGATTCTATTGAATAAGCCCTTAATTAACCCACGTTTGTAATGAATTGGGCAGTGACTATGGAAATTAAGGTATTGCCCCGTCCATGTCGGCTTTCTATAAATAGAACGTTGGATGTAATCATCTTCTCTTCTACTGATCAGTATATCTAGAAAAGGAAGTTGGTTGTTCTGTTCATATAAAAAAGTGTCTTAACAAGTATATTATATGTGTGATCAGATTGTTCGAAATGTATTTCGCTAATATCCCATCACATAATTCTGATAATCTTCGTCTTCTCATTGCATTAACGAAATTTATCAAAGGGACTAATTGTTATAAATGTAAAGTTAATTAAAATGGAACTAACCGTCAATAAATTTTTAACAGGTTTAAACAATGATCCAAGTTCATCTTGTGTTACATCAACTGGTAAACCTGTTAACATAACCATAGATTCTGTAAAATTTGGAAGATTACATTGAAATTGAACATTTGAAATATTATTTACATGATATAAATCTTTTAAATTATCTGTACTATATAAAGAGATTAAATTAGATGGAATTAATAAATTTTCATTATTATGAAGGGTAATTGTTGGAGAAAGATTAAAACTTGATATTGTATTGACATAATTACTTATATCAAAATTTTTTATAAATGAAGATGAATGTTTTAAAGTTAAAGTTGGATCTGATAATTGAACTCTTGAAGTCATTGCTAAAATGAAATAAGATAGAAACATATTATACTTCAACTTATTCATAAGTGATATTTAATTATTAATGAAAGATAGATCATCATGGGAAATTTCGAAGCACTGGATAGTCGTTTCGTTTTAGTATGGGATTCGTTAGTAGTACATATCTACGATCCCGCTCAAGGGATTTGAACACAAGACCTATCGATCTAGCGCGCGGACACATAACCTTTAGATCATCGAGTCGGCATCCATTGGTGTTCATGTCTAACTTCAAATGTTCAGTGCTTCCAGGTTTTTTATGGTGGTCTAGGATTAATTGCACGTAAATAATGTTAATATCAATAATATTTGTATAATAAATTCTTCTCACAGTAACTACATTTCCCAAATGGAGAACAGAACTACATCAGAAGGGGTTTTGTGGAGATTTAGTATTTTCATAGTCGAAAGGGTGAGTCAATTGAAGCTGGACCACCAGGAAAAACCTGGTAGCACTGGACGGCCGATTCGTCCTATTATGGGACTCCACAGCAGTGAGCATTCAACGTTCCCGCCTCGTGAGATTCGAACCCAAGACCTACCAGTCTCGAGTCAGAGCCCTTTTACCGTCAAACCACTGAGCCGGTCGGCATCCAACGGTGTTAATGTCCCACAATTAGACGAAACGGCCGTCCAATGCTTTCAGGATTTCCATGATGATCTAGCTACAATTGACTCATGCTTTCAACCATGAACAGAACTACATGTCTATAGGTCAAATTGAGGTGATGATGTAGAAAAAATTCCGTACATTACTTTATTATCTTGAAAGTAATAAGATTGAAGATTCAAATAGAAATCTTATATTAATCAATCCCTTCAGCAGGTATAATCGTATTATGTACTGACTTGCATTACTGTTTATATAAACAACATATTATAATTCACTTAGTATTGCTTGTTTGAATCTTCCTATTTATGTTTAGGACTGCAACTGGTCAGTCTCTAATTAGCATATGTGCATACTGTGCGTATTGCCTTGATATAGCGTTAATTCACAAGCATTATAAGCAAAGAACATCAACTCTGAGATGCAGGTACATTCAGCTGACGAGTCCTAAATAGGACGAAACGCGCGTCCTCGATTCTACTTCTAACCACTATCCATCTTTGCTTAACATATTATAATATTTGGATTGTAGTTGGTGGTGAAATTCATGATCCAGATTTCGGAAAAACTCAAATGCTTAGATGTATAACTCTATGATCTTTGGAGAATATAATGACTTTATGTGTGGTGTGTACTACTAATATCAACAGATGTATGCATGTATGTATCAACAATAGAAAGTGAAATGGCTGGTGTCAGAAGACTAAGAAGATGGAAGAAAAGAGAACGAGAACAGAGAATGATTGGTGTGGAAACGAAAGAACAATGGAGTCAGACGATTAATTGACATTTTGCAAATAAAGTATTTACTATATGGTTCTCAGATATTAGTAGGTTATTGTGTAATTTGTGCTTCCAAACATATTCGATCGTCCCCACTTGTGTCCTCGTTTACTACCTATATACTCGATACATCATGGGTAATGCCTTGGAGTTCGGAACTAACGATACTAGATTCAAGTCTCCCTGTGAATATTTATATTGAGACCCAGATCCTGAATACTAAACAACTGGCAAACTCAAACCCATTTTACTATAAATGAATAATATTTATTTCTTCTGAGATTACAATCTATTTCATAATGTGACTATAAGACAAACAATTCTATAGATCTATCTTTTCTTCGACTTATCAGATAACCTTCTTATAAACAAACCCATTTGTTCATTTATTTGAACATATAAATATTGGCACAAGGGGCACCAGATATATATGCACCACACAAATCTCATTTGATTTGTGTGAGGGCTGTGATGCTGCCCGTGTACCCAAACCGAAGTTGAGAGGAAGGAAAGCGAATGTCCGACGCTTTAACCAGGTTGGTGGACATGGAAAGTCCACCTAGGGGAGTTGGAAAACCCTCATTCCAAACAAATGGTGCACATGATCTCCAGAATCCTGAGGGAACAAATGGCGTATCAATCAATCGTTGGTCACCGGCTACCATGGGACTGCATCTACTCACGATGCTACACTGCCTTGTGTATCAGACATTGAGTAGGATTTCCCTGACAGAGGCTATATACGCGTGGTCATGTGAGAGCATTTGGAGAGGGAGAGCGGACTCTCCTCACTCTCAGCCGCACCATGGTACTCGGGGATACAGCTTTGTCATCTAAAGAATTATCTCAACGTTTTTCTTTGCAATAAAACTTACCATTTAATATATTTTGATCATCCAGTTTTGTTTTTATTGTATGTTTCATTGTTTTCGATGACCAATTCAAATTGGGACTCTTTGATGGTCCATTTGATCCATTCAATAAAGAACTTATATGTATTCTATGTATTGGTATACATAATGAAGTATCTGATAAATTAACTACTGATAACTTTCCATTCTGGTCAATAGTATATAAGGCAAATGTTGGAATATTTGGTATAACAGTAAATTGGGGATTATGATTATGATTATTGTTACCATATAATTTAGTTAGACCAAATGATCTAGTTATTAAATCTTGAATAAATTGAATAGCTTCAATGGTATTCTTTAATGACAGTAACCATGATGATGTATTATTATGGTTTGTAATCATTTCCTTAAAAGAAAGAGAAGAAAATAAAAGTTTATTATAATCAAAATGAGTTAGATATATATGTTGTAGTGTTGTCTACTTATATTCATATAAGTAGTATATGGTGATAATCAGACAGAATGTATTTTGGCAGAAGATCGATAATGGAAGAACTGAAATGAAATGGATGTCGGATGCTGGTCCCCGGCAGGTCGACGGAGTTATGGAGGTCAGCAGGCCGCAGACTTGACATTCTGACGGAGATTTTGGCACAGACTGTAGTGGAAGAAGAAAGTGGCATGGCGAGCAGAACCACTGCAAGAACGAATGCTTTAAAAGGGGGGACGATTGTGGTGTGGTCTACTTATATTCACATAAGTAGTATATGATGATGGTCATACATAGAATGAATTTTGGCAGAAGACGGATAAGGAAAGAACTGTAATGAAGAGCAATTGCTCAAGATTGAGTCAAGTGATTGATAGTTTGCAAATTAACTGTTTGCTGTATGGTTATCAGATCTCAGTAAGATAGTTTGTAATTTGTGCTTATATACATTCGATTGTCCCCACTCGGATTCTCATTCACTACAATATGATTGAAATTGTTATTGATATGTCTATACTTGGGTCTTAAGCTGTACTTACCTATCAGTCTCGCGCGCGAGCGTCTAACTTCTAGAGAATTTAATGAATATCAGTATAGGGTTGTACAGATGATTATGTTTTTGACTGATATTATATGCTCATAAGTGACTAGCCTCGTGAAGGAATTATCGGGGTTCTAGTGAGAAGTCGTGATCAGTGGAGGTAACCCATGTCAGTTAGAGACAGATATCTATCTACAATGGAGGATGGTCTTGCACTTTCATGGATCGGTTCAGGTTAGACATTAACATCATCGGATGCCGACTCCGTGGTCTAGAGCTTTAGCGATCGCACGTGAGATCGAGGGCCTTGGGTTCAATTCCTGTGAGTGGGATCGTAGATGCAAACTGCTGAGGAGTCCCGTGCTAAGACGAAACTGCCGTCCAGTTGATAAGTCTTCCTAATTAAAAACTGTAATCGGATCTTAAGCTACTCTCGTAACCCTACAAGCTAAGTCTACACAATGACTTGAACACGAGAGAAAAGGCGCAAAGTATGCCAGAAGCACTTTACTCCAAAGGTTCATTTATGTACAGAAAACATAGGGTTTTTATAGTATTTAAGAAGTCCTTGAGTTTTCCTGAAAATTCTAAAATACCATTAAACATAGTAACAGTGTAGTAATCAGTCAATCAGAAACTCTTTATGTGACTTTTCATTTTCGTGATGTTTCTAGCAAAACTTCTAGTCAAATGCCGATTGGATAAAATGGTTCTTAATGTTTCCTGAGCTCGTCATGTCTATTGCAATCAAAAACTTTCTGGATCATCCCAATAGTTAATCAGACTTGTAGATGATAGTCTGACAGGCGTTAGATGAGTGATATTATATTCCCCTATCCTTATTATTATTATTATTATTGGTTGTTGTTGGATTATGTAGGCTTTTAGTATGGAAATATATTTACGTTCTAGTCAGGCTAATCACAAGTTCTTGATCTGAGTTGTGTTTAAGACTTGTAGAGTCTGAGAGGGAATCTAAGGCTATGGTGTGCTACTTATACATAAGTAGTATATATCGTCAGTCAGGAGTAGAATATCTAGCAGCTGAAGATTGAGATGATCGAGAAGGAAAGAACAGAAACAGAAAGCAATTGGTATGGAGATGAAATAACAGTAAAGTCCGAGACGACTGATCGACATTTGCAAAGGAATAGTCAAGTTTGATTGATATTTTGCAAATTAAGTATTTACTGTTTACTTCTCAGATTTCACTAAGGTGTTTGATTGTCCCCACTGGTGTTCGTGTTCACCACAAGGCAAATTAACTCCCATTTGTATAAACGAGGAAAATCCGAACGTTATAACAGTGTCATTGATAATAATTCCTTACTGAAGTTTGTCTATTTAGGTTTCTATTTTTACTCTTACTTACTCTTGTGATTAATAATGAAATGTGACACAATCCAAAATCTGCATTTCATGAATATGTGCAGTGGATCATTTTTTAATATTCACTGTAGAATTTCTTCAATCCTATTCTATTTCAATGAGCAAACACTGTTGTAATCAGTACGTCGTTTATGCTAAGGATCTTTATGCATTTGACTGAGTTTGTCTACCTTTTAAAAATACTACGTAGGTTGGATGTTTACTAGCAGAAGAATCCAGGACACGCGTTTTGTCCTATTCGGGAATCGTCAGCCAGATGTGCCTGCATGTCAGAGTTGATATTCAGCAAGTTCAAGTTCCAGAGCGAACATCAATTCTGAGATACAAGTGAATCCACCTGACGAGTCACAAACAAGACGAGACATGCGTTCTCGACTCCACTGCTAACTACTATCCATCTTAGCTTACAATGCTTGTGAATTAAGGCTATATCGAAGCAATACGCACAATATGCACATTTGCCAATTAGAGACTGACCAGTTGCAGTCCTAAACATCAATGGGAAGATTCAAACAAACAATATGAATGGCTTTTGTTCATTTAGATTCATTAGATAAACATATTATTAAAAAAACCATTTAATAGATAAAGTAGCAAAATAATTACCATCCTTCTCATACGATAAACCTTTGCAAAATTGGCTGGACCCAAATACAATCGAATATCATGTCTAGACGTTTCCATGGGTAATTCATTCAACTGAACCATAGCACATGCACCACCAATTGGCATTGGTCTTGCAAATGGACAGTCAGGATCTGTTGGATCAGTTAGATCACGAAAGAGCGAATTTGTACTAGTTATATTTGGTAAAAGATTGAGATTAACTGAAGGATTGTTTGGTGAGATCACTGGTATGAATGGTGATATACCTCTTAATGTATTGTTTAATAATACATTGTCGTTTAGACCAGATGAATCCAATCCTGTTCTAGTTGATGTTAACAAGTTATGTGGCAAACCCAAAGACATTGTACCAGAATGCCATAGATTTTGTACATTTGATAGGGCTCCGGTACTGATAGCCGATTTCAAATGTGTAAGAGCTTGGCTTAAGTAAGTTTCTTTATGAATACTATTGTTAGTATTACTATTGTTTACAAAATTGACTAGGTTAGAACAGTTGATTTGTGTTCCACCATTCATGAGTGGTACACCTATGATTCCATTAGATTGAATGTTTGATAAGGCTGAATGTGTTTTCTGTCCAGATGGTGAACACTGTAATAGTGTTACATTATGACAAACCTGGACGAAAATAAAAATAAAGTAAATAGTCCACTGGAAAAAAAGCACACAAAAACAAATAATATATATCAAACATAGTAAATTAGTACGAATCCATTTGGTAGCACAATACAACTTCCTCATCAAATTATCTTACTGTTCACTTAATAGTATTTTTCATCGTTGATGTGTGTGTGTGTGTTAAGATGGTGGTTGGAGGTAGTCAATAGGGTTTCCTGTTATGATCTTTTGGCTATTTGTTTGAGAACCAGGACAATAGATGTTTTTGGTTATCAACCTCAATGAACCTGACTTTCTTTGGGCTGGATATATTGACTTTGTTGAGCTTTTGACACGACAGTCTTGGTCTTCGCATTTAAGATCACTCAGATTTCACTCTAGTAGCACCTAAATTGGCTGTGCAGATCGTCCTTTACAAAATATAAGGTTTTCACATCTTCGTTAGGTTCTCATGATTAGTGAAATCGACTGCTATTAAACTTTGCGATCTCACTGTCTTAAGATGCTCAAGGCAACACCATCCCAAGCACCCTGTTTGTGTGAATGAGTAGGTAAATCGGGGTCGCAGTTGTAATAACTAGGATCACAAAAGTAAAACGAGACGGCTAGAGCTATCGAAGAATGGTTTGGCTATAAATCACTTGATTTTATGAATCATAATCCGGAACAGGAAAACTTCGTCTATAATTATGTTGATTTTTAATTCTCATCACAATATATAATAACTTCAGCTTCATTAGGTGGAAATGTTTTCTTACCGTTGTAGAAGGATCATAGGGAATTCTATTAAGGTTTGTAGAGTGTTAAGTAATCCAAGTCACTGTCAAAAAAGGACTACCAAAATTCCATCATCGTTATCCAGAAATTTACTCTGGGGAAAATTGCTCATCAGAAAGAGAACATTTAGACAATGTTCCGCCTTTTCAAACTGATGAATTTGTGATATTCGAAATTCCATAGCCCTTTAAGGAGATTATTTCAAGAGTAGGTTAGACTAATAAACCTGATTTGATGTGGTGATTGTTTTAAGCTAGAGTAACTGTTGAATATATGAGGTAGAATGTAATCACAATCATTTATTTCACTTTTCCTATATTATAACCATATATCCCATTTCCTTCTTTATCCTCTGCTTCATTTCACTTTACTTGTTATTATTTCTATTGACTCGTCCATTTTCTTGTTTTTCATAGTTGAAATCATAAGTCAATTGAAGCTAGACCACCATCAAAAACCTGAAAGCACTGCTTGACGGCCGTTTCGTAATATTATGGAACACCTCAACAGTGCGCATCCACGATCCCGCCTCGTGAGCGAGATTCGAACCCAGGACCTACCAGTTTCTCGTTCTTGTTCCTTTCACTTACATCCATACTTTTAACTTCATTTTGTGATGCTTAACATAAACAACTGTATGACTACCTGGTGGTGTGATAGTTGCTCACTTCATCAGTTATATTGGTCTAGGACATTTACTTTTCAAACTTGCAGAAATCTCTCAAATTTAGCAGGACTACCTCAACCAAGTAACTACATCTCAGTCTCACTAAACTCTATCAGTGATCTAAAACCAATTTCTGACGTCATAGTAATCTCTCCGACAAACAGTACATTTGTATTAGATTGTCACAAAGATATTTGATACTGAAGTACTAATTAAAGAGTAAATATACGGCTGTAGTGTATGTATTAACTAATAATTCCCTTGTACTTGATAACTGCCTGATCTTAAATTCTATATACAATACATTAGTTTGTGCTTATTTACTTCTTTATAGCATGAATTAAGTTATTTCGAGAATTCCTAGTTCGTACAATAATGACCTGGTACGACCGATAGTGAAGAGAGTCCGCTCTACCTCTCCAAATGCTCTCACATGGCCACGCGTATATAGCCTCCGACAGGGAAGTACTACTCACTGAAATTCTCGTGGCATTACTGTTGTTTACCAAATTGATAGGACGAAAAGCGAGTGTCTGGCTCTATAACCGGGTTGATGGACACGGAAAGTTCACCTAAGGGAGTTGGAAAACCCTGATTCCAAACCAATGGGAACAAATGGCGCATGAATCAATTGTTGGTCACCGGCTACCATGGGACTGCATCTCCTCATGATGCTCCACTTCCTTATGGATCAGATCTTTAGGTTGAAGTCTCCGGGTGTGGTCCCTTAAGAAAACCACCTGCTTCAGTTTGGGCACCTGGGCAGTATCACAGCCCCTACATAGATCAAATGAGATTTGTGTGGCGCATATATATCTGGTGTCCCCTTGTACCAATATTTATGTGTTTAAATAAATAGCAATAATAGAGAAAACTTAGGCTCAACAAATATTTGAACGATAATGTTTATGTTTTCATGTTTCCTCTTTTAGTAAAAGACTTAAGAATGATAGTTCTCTGATAGTTATTCAAAGATATAGATTACATCAAAGGGGTTTTTTGTAGAAATTTTAATGATTTTATAGTTGAAATCACGAGTCACGAAACGGCCATCGATTGCTTCCAGGTTTTCCAAGGTGGTCTATCTTCAATTGCCTCATGATTTCAACTACAAAATTACTAAAATCTCCAGAAAACCCTTTCTGATAACGATCATATGCTAGCTAGTGACTGACTTCAAGAGATATTTCCTGGAGTTCTAGTGAGAAGCAGTAGTGACCAGTGGAGTTCAACCAGGTCTGTTGTGAGATATCAACTCACTGAAGAGAATGGTGAACGGTTGCTCGATTTCGTGAATTGGTTGAAGTTAGACATTAACATCGTTGGATGCCAGCTCAGTGGTTTATTGGTTAAGCGCTCTCGCACAAGACTGATAGGTTCTGGGTTGAAATCTTGCGAGGCGGGATCGTAGATGCGCACTACTGAGGAATCCCACAATGGGACGAAATGGCCGTTCAGTGCTTTCAGCTTTTCCATAGTGGTCTAGCATCAACTATAAAATATAGATTACAATAAAAAGTGTAAAAAGAATACTTAAACACTTTTATAGAAAAAAAAATATATATCCATTACCTACCTGAACCATTTCAGATGGAGATGCTTTAAATAATTCAACATATCTATCACCTAAATAATCTTTATGACGTATTAATGCTTTAGTTGCTATATGATCATTACAAAATAGAATAAATGCATCACCAGTTGGTCGTTGATCTGGATAAACAACTAAATATATTCCTTGTTCATTGAACATAATTGGTGCTTGTACAGCATTGAAAAATTCAATCTAAAAAAGGTGGGTGGGGGGTAAAACAATATTGATATTAACTTTTCAAGATTGATATATATATATTATAGCCAGTAATGAATTCATACAAGTCATTATATGTAACTAACTCCGCCTGTAACACCTCAGGGGGGCTACTTATTGCCGGTCCCAAGCTCGGTTAAATGAGGAGGGTTGGGCATGGGGTTAGAAACACCATTCCGTAGAAAACTAACTAACTCGCTAAAAAAAAAAGCTGACCAGAAATGATTCATCATTATGTAACTAACGTTGTCACTACTGATCAATGATTAGTATTTTTCTTTGTTTTTAAACAAACACCAGATTCAACACCATACTGTAAATCATTCACAATCATAAACAAACAAACAAACAAAACAATCAATTAGATTAGTTTCATTATCTAAATGATCATCACCAAAATCATTATTACCATGTATCCAAATACAAAAAAAAACAAAAAAAAAATAGTAACTACGGTAGGATCACCGATAGTAACATTATCGATTATAACTATGGGTATAATAATGATCATAAATTGTATCCCCCTAGAAAACCATAAATCGATCTTGTATATCAATATAAATGATCTACTTATAGTATACAATTAAAAAAGTAAACAAACAAACAAACAATAGAGAATAATAAACATAAAGAAAATTGAAATCTTATTATTATTATTGGATGAATGATATCACCATAAGAAAATAAATGATAAACAAACTTAAACCTTATCCCATTCAATGCTATGATCACCTTTGTATCATTTAGTATATAGAATTAGAAGGGGTTTTGTGGAGATTTAGTATTTTTATAGTTGAAAGAGTGAGTCAATTGAAACTAGACCACTAGGGAAAACCTGGAAGCACTAGACGGCCGTTTCGTTCAATTGTGGGACTCCTCAGCAGTGCACATTGCCCAACTTCGTGGATTGGTTGGAGTAAGACATAAACACCATCGGATGCCAGCTTAATGGTCTGTCGGTTAAGTGCTTTGGCGTGAGACTGGTATGTCTTGGGTTCGAATCTCGTGAGGCAAAGTCGTGGATGCGCACTGTCACTGAGGAGTCTCATAATAGGATGAAATGGTCGTCCAGTGATTTCAGGTTTTCCCTGGTGGTCCAGATTCAATTGACTCACACTTTCAACTATATAGAATTGTTTTTTTTAAACAAAAAAGAGAAACCAACCATTCACAACTTATTTAAATATAAATGATCAGTCAGTCTGCTACAACGTCGAACCAGGAACATTTATGCATCGATCCAAGTTGTCATGCCTCATTAGCACAACAAGATGAACACCAAATTCATAGAAGCAGTTATTTCAATGGTAGTAATATATAAAACAGAGATTGTGTATAAGGATCTAGTACAGGAAGAAAGAGTTAGTTGATTGAAAGAAAGGTATAAAGCAATTTTAATCTCAAGGTTTAAGGGAAGATAAAGAGTGTATACACCTGCGCCATTGTGAACGATTCTGAGACATGTCTAACAGAGTCTCCAACCATTGGTTACGATAGTCATGTGCACCCCAACCAAATAGTCTCCATCTGCCAACATGGCTCAAACTAGGAGTTAGTGACTTCAAGCACCGATGCCATGTTTTGGTTTGGCTGCCCCAAACTTTCTTCCAACCATCTCGAACACTAGTCAGCATAGCGCGTCGTCGTAATCAGTAATCAGGCATACGTAACACGTTGTCTAACCATTTCAGTTGATAAAGATTCATGACCTCATCAACTGATTTACCATCGTTTCCTAATACCCTGTGCCTAACCTCACTAATACTTATCCGGTGATCTCAGAAGCTGCGAGCGATAGTTCTAAGACATCTATAGTCAAATACTAGTAACTTACAAGTATCTTCTACTCTTAATGACCACCTTTATCAACTGTAAAGTAGAACAGAACGAACTGCTGCGCAGTATACTTGTCCCTTAATTGATAAACGGATATCTCGTTTTCTTCATAGGTGACCTAAGTTGGCGAAAGTCAAACGTTCATTTTGAATCCATGCTGAGATTTCGTCAGACACCAACCCATTAAGGCTGATCAGACTTCCAAGATAAGTGAAGTTATCGACGCGTTCAACTACCTCACTCTCTATCCTTAGTTCATGTGTTGACCCAGATCAGTCCTGGAGTGGCGACTTGCATTTTGAGGGCGAGGAAAGCATCCCATCCTTAAAGACCTCTGGAGTCAGTCCATCTGAACCAGACGCTCTTCCTCGTTTCAGATTAGCCATAGCCTTCCAAACTTAAATTAGGGGAGGTGGGCCTATTTCAATATTCTCTCCCATGGTAGGGTATTCCTGATGGTAACCGATCAGCAGCCATTCAGTACCTTGCGCAAACAGTTGTTTATGAATATTTATACTTTCTTAATGATGGTTGTATCAGTTCTCCACGTTTCAGCTCCCTACAATATAAATAACTGTCTTGACGTTCGTATCGAAGATTCTGACTTAGATGTTGGCTAACAGTTGTTTTGAGTTCCATATGTATTTCAGTTGTAAGAATGCTGTCCTTGTTTTGCCAATCCTCGCCTTTACATCTGAATCCCCCTTGTTCATCAATAATGCTTCCCAGGCACGTGAATTTTTCTACTTCTTCCAGAGTTTCTCCATCATGTGTGATTGGGGTGGTGTTCTCCGTGTTGTATTTAAAGGTCTTTCTTTTTTCCATGTGTACATTGAGGCCCAATCTATGCGCAGGCTGCTGCTACAATGTCTGCCTTCGACTGCATTTGTTGATGTGTATAGGGTAAAATCGCCAGGTCATCCGCGAAGTCCTAATTGTCTAGTTGATTCAGAGCCGTCCATTCTATTCCATGTTTCCCTTCACATGTTGAGGCCTTCATAATCCAGTCAATCACCCGAAGAAAGAGGAATGGGGAGAGAAGGCATCCCTGTTCGTCCTCACTTGAGAGTGAGTCTATCAGTTGTCCTCCATGAATGACTTTGCACTGTAGTCCGTCGTATAAATTCTGAATGATGTTGACGACTTTCTTAGCTACCCACTACATAGTGTAGAAAAATTATCTACAAATTCCTCCTATGTTTGCTCATAGTCAATGAAGTTGATGTATGGTAACGAGTTCCACTCAACTGATTGTTTCACGATGATTCGTAGTGTCGCTATTTGGTCTGTGCATGACCTATTTTCATAGAGTCCTATCTGTTGACCACGAAGTTGGGCGTCTACTGCGTCTTTCATCCGGTTCAGCAACAAAAGCATTTCCTAGTACTGACAGTAGTGTGATACCTCTGTAATTCTTACATTTACTCAGATCTCCTTTCTTTGATATCTTGATGAAGTGTCTTTCCTTCCAGTCCGTTGGCACTTGTTCTTCTTCCCAAATCTTCCTGAGTAGATCATGGGACAACTATGCCTGTAGCTCTTCTAGGATTACTACCGATGCCAAGCTCAGTTAAAGGAGGAGGATTGGCATATAATCTAAGTGAGATTCACCGAATAATGAAAATAAAAATTTAGTAACTTAAACACTATACTACTAACATTAGCTTTAGTACACATCAGTGATAAGTATGAGACTATGTAAAATGTATCATTCTACATTAAATAATCTTAAAAACTCGATTATATATGGATTGAACAAAAAAATGAAGTGGTTACCGATCGATACCGGTCGTTACAAGTTACTTACAACAGTGACTACTGATCATTATTCAAATAAAAAGGATTTACATACACAAACTACAAAAATAAGGAATCAGAAGGAGTTTTTGTGGAGAATTTAGTATTTTTATAGTTGAGATAATGAGTCAATTGAAGCTAGACCACTATGGAAAATCTGGAAGCACTGGACGTCTATTTCGTCTTATTATGGGACTCCTCAGCAGTGCGCATTTACGATTCCGCCTCGCAAGATTCGAACCCAGGACCTACCAGTCCTAAGTTTAATTATAATTTTAATTGAGCTAATCAATCAATCAATGTTGAATTTTTAATCATAATTATTTTCATTTGAAGAGTCTTGGATATGAATAACAACAGATTTTATAGTGGTTTATCTATATACCATCAGTCATGTATAATTAGAGTTAACCTAACTTGTACTGTAGAAATAAATTTGAGCATTAAGTGGAACTCAAAACAACTGTCAACCAACAAAAAGATCAGAACTTTCAATACAAATGTCAAAACAGTTCTACTGTATGGGGCGGAAATTTGGAGAACTATGAAGGCTATCATTCAGAAGATACAAGTGTTTATTAACATTTGTCTAAGCGAAATACTTCGAATCCGTTGGCCAGACACTATCAGCAAGAACCTACCGTGGGAGAGAACAAGTCAGATTTCAGTGGAGGAATAAATCAGGAATAAGCGCTGGAATTGCATGGGACACACATTGTGTAAAGCATTCAACTACGTCACAAGACAAGTCCTCACATGGAATCCTTAAAACCCAAGGAAAAGAGGAAGATCAAAGAACACATTAAACCGAGAAATGGAGACAGATATGAAAAAAGAACAACAATTGGATAGAACTAGAAAGAAATGCCCAGGACAGAGTGTGTTGAAAAATGCTGGTCGGTAATCTATGCTCCATTGGGAGTAACAGGCCTAAGTAAGTAAGTAAGTTATCATAATAATGAAACATGACAATGAAAAAGAATATATGAAACACAATGGAAGAACACAAAAAGAAAAACACCATGATCACCTTCAAAGAACTAATCAAAATCTTATAGAAAACTATCCTAACGTAATATCAATGAAAAATTACAAAAACAAACATTCACCACATGGTAATCATAAACATTTATTAATATGAAAGTCAATTGTAGTATTATCATTACTGTAATTACATGTAGTCAATCAAGTATGCTGAAAAGTAATATAAGAAAAACTAAGTTTGAAGTATTATTAGTAGTTAATAGTTAAGTAATTAATTAATTAAGTAAAGATTTACTATAGTAATTTTAATAGTCAAGATCATGAGTCGATTGAAGCTAGAGTGTCATGAAGAACCTTGAAACACTGAACGGCCATTTCGTCCTATTGTAGGACTCCTCAGCAGTGCACATCTACAATCTTGCCTTGCGAGATTAGAATGAATTTCTTTTAGGATTTATAAATTGGCCTCCACATACCCTGGTACGGTCGGGAGTTGGGAGGGGGCGCCCTCCCTCTCGAAATGCTCTCATATGGCCATGCCTATACAGCTTCTTCCAGTAAAGTCCTACTCACTGCTTTCTCGTGACATTACTGTTGTTTACCAAGTTGAGAAGACGAAACGCTAATTTTCAGGGCTTTACCCGGGTTGGTGGACACAGAAAGTTCACCTAAGGGAGTTGGAAAATCGTGATTCAAAATCAATGGTACACATGGGCTCCAGTATCCTGAATGAACAAATGGCGTATGAATCAATTATTGGTTATCGGCTACCATGGGACTGCATCTCCTCACGATGCTCTACTGCCTTGTGGACTAGACCTTCAGGTCAAAGGCTCCGGGTGTGGCCCATCAAGAAAACCACCTGCTTCAGTTTGGGCATGTGAGTAGTATCACAGCCTTTACACAAATCAAATGAGATTTGTATGGCGCATATTTATCTGGTGCTTCCTTATACCAATATTTATGTGTTTAAACAAACAAATAAATAAATCAGCAGTGCACATTCACGATTCCGCCTCGCGAGATTCAAATGAATCGCTTATAGGATTTATAAATAAGCATAAATTATGACATAACTTTATAGGGTAAGTTCTTTCTAGAGTCATTATCTACTATTGGTAAATCTTGATGTGGGTTTGTTCTCTGATCTGTATGGTTTAGTCGTCGAGCATCATCATCACAAACTTCGGGTAGAAGTGAAGTGTTTGAATTTCTTCGCATGTGGTTCACAGCTTGTCCTGTACACCTCGATGTTAATTGGTTCTTATTGACCTTAAATCTGTCATCACATCAAAATCAATCACCCGAGCTACAAATCTTCTCCACTATTGATAAATTCTATAGATTTTATACCGAATACTTTTGTCAGTTACTTTGTCTTCTTCCTTATAAACTTGAGAAATTAAGCAAAACTTTCGCCATAACAGATTTAGTGCAGCTCAACCTTTGTTTGTTCAATCTACTGATCAGAATTCTATTTGGGGATCTTCTAAAGTTACTACCGATTCCAAGCCCAAACGTTTATGGTGTTATTAAACCCATTACGTAGCAAAGAACCTTTCTATAAACACATTAACCAGTAAGTAATCTATATACCAGTGTTACCAATCATTATTCAAACTCTATAGCAACAATTTTCGCTCATTCATCTATTGATAATTTTATAGAGTTAGAAACCTTAGGGAACTATAGAAATGATTACTATAAGAATTTTTAAGTCAGTACATTGGTTCATTCAAAACAAGCATTAATGTATAGTCGACAGTTTCAGTTGATCGCCAACTGTATGACCCCAATGAGTTGACTTAAATTATCATACTTTTCATTTATACATTATTTCAATGGACTCTTTATTAACCCAAGTGATTTCGTCATCATGTCACACTGGTTCAGTAGATAACTTCCAATTTAATATTAGAATTTAATTCGCTTTCTATGATAAATGAAAGTTATTGATTATTTAAGTCCGGTCAGTACGAAACCAATACAACAGTAAAATTCACTTAGTATTACTTGTTTGAATCTTCCCATTGATGTTTAGGACAGCAACTGGTCAGTTTCTTATTGGCATATGTGCATACTGTGTATATTGTCTCGATATAACCTCAATTCACAAGCATTGTAAGCAAAGATGGATATCAGGACTCAATAGCTAAGTGGATAACTCAATATCGTTTGAAGCGAAAGGTACTGGGTTCGAGTTCCAGAGTAAACATCAACACTGAGATGCAGGTATATCCAGCTGATGAGTCCAAAATAGGACGAAACGCGCGTCCTGGATTCCACTGCTAGCCTATATCCATCTTCGCTTACAATAAAACAGTTTCCTAGCTGGTTCCTGTTCAAGAATGTTATATTTAAAAAAATACCGAAATCAACTTTTCAAAAAGCTGTATCAAGTAATGTAAGTACTCAATACTGTACTGGAAAACTCTCTGTTTTAATCCGGAATCAAAGTCTTTTTCAAACGCTTCGTCGATGAAACAAAACGAAGGTTATTAGAATTTGCATACACTGTCTCCATAACAGAGTATGCATTATATGATTTAATATACGAGTGGAAAACAGTTTAAGGCGAGACTATAATTGATGGAGGACCTTTGAATGAATCTGACGTGACCTTGAGAAATGTTAGCCAATCAGTAAACAGTCAGAAAAGAATAAAAAATATCTTATACAAAACCAAATAATTAAAGTGGATACACTTCTTTTATATGATCCATAAACTTGTCAAGGTTAGAAAAAGGTTCAAAGGTCCCATAATCGTAATGCATAAGGTAGAGGAACTCATCCATATTACTCCATAATAGTTGGTCTCTGGATCCATGATAAAGTCACAAAAACGCTCTCAGCCTCGACCACATATCTTCAATATTGCTTGCGTGTACTACGGTTGTGTAATTTTATCATTTATATTATGGATATGTCCCTACAATACTCATACCACTGAACAGCCGAAGCTTTAGTAACATCTGCGAATATTGCAGCCAATGTTACTGGTGCTTTTATTATACAGTTGGCGGCAATTATTATCATATGCCTTAGTCTTAATCTGGATCGAGCGATAAAGTTTCCTATTCTAGCAAACGTCTTCCATCAACATATATAACATCGAAGGACAACATCACGGTAGTCTGCACAAAATCTACAAGTCATTTAATAACGGCAATTACAAATACAGGAACTTCTTAGCAGTCTCATTTGTTGTAGCCGCTTAATTGTCAATTCTTCTCTAAAATTCTCTGTGAGCCGATCGTACATGAGCATCAGGTACTGAAATTGGTGCCGTGACCCTGAAATTCCTCAATTAATCTGATTGGCTCGTCCATAAATTATAGTCTGGCCCAGTTTAAAAAAGTACAGGAATAATATTGTGAAGAAACGGTTGAAAGACACGACTATAAAGTTTCAGAGGAAACCAAAACTGACAGAGCTGAACACTTCTTTTTAGAAAAACATTCGAAAAGTATTCAGTTCATCTAGTAGTACTTTACCTTTCCCTCAAATATAAGTAGTATCACTGAAGCCGAAATTTTGTCATTCTATGAAAAGAGATGGTGTGCTGAACTGAAAAACTCTGTTCGGAAGCTTTATACAGAAAATATGAGACGGAATCACAGTCCCGAGCTAACAAACTCGAACAAATTAAAGTCATATTTATTGATTATTGTCTCCAATATACTAATGAAAGGTTAACTACCAGCCAAATGCTGTCAAATGAATGTAAATCCCAACATTATAATTGTTTGAGAAATAAAGACTTAATATTACATAATCTGAAAAAACGTTACTTGGATCAATTGAAAACAACAACTACATTGCTGAACACCTCATCAAAATCGTCATGTTACACTAACAGAATTATCCTAAGGAATGGTCCACAAAGTTAAGCTAATCGACTTAAGAAAAATGAGGATCTGAATCTTCAGCGTTTCAAGGTTATTAAAACCAAAGGATAACAACAGTTGAAATACATATTTTGTTGTCTACATCATGGACTAATTAAGCTAGACAACTAGAAGCACACAAACAAGACCCTGCCTGAGATCAAATCCAGGAACTTTACGTCTTATGGAGAACAACTGACTGTATCCGGTAATCACCATTTACCGATGAACTCCATTAGTCACAGCTTCTCATTAGAATCGTGTATACTCACTTATAGAGAGTCACATTGTTGGACGAAATAGATTAAAGGTGTTTCTTCGTTCTCAGAGATTATCTAACCATATTCATAATTTAAATTAGACAATCCAACAGTCCCTACAAGCTTCCATACTAAAAATCAGTTACATTTGTTTAGAAAATGAACTTTTTGAATGTACAAAATGTTTCATATCAGTGATCTAATTGTTTCTACTGTGGAATCGGTCTATACATAGCATCAGACAAAAAACTAAGTATTACTTAGAAAATTAACTTTTATCAAACTATTTTTGATCATTATAAGCAAAGATGGATGGTGGCTAGTAGTGGAATCCAGTTTGACGCGCGTTTCGTCCTATTTGGGACTCAACAGCTAGATGTACCTGCATCTCAGACTTGTTGATGTTCAGTCTGGGACTCGAACTAAGTACCGTTCGTTTCACACACCATCGCGTTATCCACTTAGCTACCGAGTCCTGATAGCTACTCGCTTGTGCTATGTAGTGAAATTATATTCACTTGCTGTTTTTTACTTGAATCTTACCATTGTTATTTAAGACTGGATATCAAGAATCAGTAGCTGGGTGGATAACAGGATGGTGTTTGAAGCGAACGGTACTGCGTTCGAGTTCCAGAGTGAACATCAACTCTAGGATGCAGGTACATACAGCTGATAGGTACCAACTAGGACGAAACGCTCAACCTGGATTCCACTGCTGGCCTCCGTCATCCATCTTTGCTTATAAAGCTTGTGATTTCAGGCAATACACACAGGATGCACATATGCCGACAAGAGACTGATCATTTGTAGTCCTAAATAACAATGACAAGATACTAGTAAACAACACCAAGTGAAAATGAATAGGATTGTTTAAATTAATTAATTAAAACTTACAATTTGTTTTTTACATGTTGTATATGGTAAACCACGTACACGTACTACAACTTGTTCACCATTTGTTAATTGATTTAAAAAGTTTATAACAGATTCTTGATCACCTAAAACAATATAATAATTATAGAATTAAACACAAAGTAATATTACTTTAAATAACTATAGTAGTTGAAAGCATAAGTCAATTGAAGCTAGACCACCAGGGAAAACCTGGAAGCACTGGACGGCCGTTTCATCCTATTGTGAGACTCCTTAGCAGTGCCCATCCACGTCCAATGCTTCCAGGTTTTTCCTGGTGGTCCAGCTTTAATTGACTCACGCTTTCAACTATGAAAATACTAAATCTCCCCAAACCACCTTCTGATGATAATAATCATATGCTCACTAGTGACTGGCTCCATGAGGTATTTCATGAAGTTCTAGTTAGAGGCAGTGACCAGTGGAGATCAAAAATGGTCTGTTGTGAGATATCAACTCACTGAAGATATTTGGTGAATGGTTGCTCAATTTCGTGGATTGGTTGAAGTTAGACATTAACACCAATGGATGCCGGCTCAGTGATCTGTCAGTTAAGTGCTCTGGCGCGAGACTGGTAGGTTCTGGGTTCGAATCTCGTGAGGCGAGGTCATGGATGCGCACTGCTGAGGAGTCCCATAATAGGACGAAACGGTCGTTTAGTGCTTACATGTTTTCGATGGTGGTCTGGCTTCAATTGACTTACGCTTTCAACTATGAAAATACTAAATTCTCCACAAAAACCCCTTCTGATAATTATAATAGTATTTATCAAATACACTAAATATAATGAAGCGTGCTGACATAAGATTATGCTTCGTAAAATTTCACATCTATATAACATGTTAGTGAGGAATAGAATATCTGACAGCAGAAGGTTGAAAAGAACAAGGAGGAAAGAACGGGGGCATAAAACAATTGCTATAGAAATACAGGAGTAATGAAGTCTGAGACAATTGACTGATATCTACAAAAGAAACAGTCAAGTTTGAGAGAATCGATTAATATTTCACAAATGAAGTATTTACTGAATGATTCTCAGAATTCACTAGGTTGTTCTGTAACGTTGTGTTTAAGTACATTCGATTGTCTGCGCTTGCTTTCTCGTTCACTACTACATGACTAATAGATTTTTTAGCTCAGTAAGTTAACCAACGACTGACTATGTTCAGACCTCCTTCAAGTATCAGAAGGTTTCGTGGAGATTTTAGTAATTTTATATCGTTGAAATCATAAGTCAATGGAAGCTAGACCACCGTGGAAAATGTGGATGCACTGAATAGCGGTTTCGTTCTGGTATGAGACTCGTCAGAGGTGTGTATCCACGATCCCGCTCTCGGGATTCGAACCAGGAACCGTAAGGTTCTGGGATAGTAACTCACTGAAGATAATGATGGACGATGGCTCAATTTCATGGATTGGTTGAAGTTAGACAATAACACCGTTGAATACCGCATCAGTGATCTACAGGCTAAGCGTTCATGACTGAGACCGAAGTTTCTGGATTCGAATCTCGAGGGCGGGGTAGTAGGTGAGCACTGCTGACAAGTCCCATACAAGGACGAAACAGTCATATAGTGCTTCCAAGTTTTCCATGATGATCTAGCTTTAATCTTCTCATGAATTCAACTATTAAATTTAAATGTATATGAGTAAGGCTTTTATTTAGTTTGGTTGTTCAGTTCACTTAAGTGGTTCCATAGTTCCGTTATTTCTAAATCAACAATCATATTTCTTTTCATTGAATCTAACGATCAAAAGTGAGAAAATTTTACTTATGGATGTAAACACAACAATCATTTCAAATCAGCGACTAATATGAAGAAAAAAAGAGTTGAAAAATGTTTGAACTACAGACCCTAGATCATCGTGAACTACCTACAGATTCTTGATCTTTATATGTACAAATGTATTAAGTCGAATATGTTTTGCATTAATCTTCTAAATTGGTTGTCTTTGAGTACTTATGTGATAGTCATAAAATAAAGTAGATGAAACTTGAACCAAAACTTCAAAAAACATACTCTTTTTAAAGGGTATACTATTTCAGTCAAAACACTAGAAATTGAAATCCTGCTCATTTGGCCCATCGAATTAAAGAGCTCAAATGTATTGTTCTACTTCCTTTGAATGATAAATGAGAATCTATTAAACAAAGAGAGTTACTGATGAACTTTAACTGTGATAAGATTTCTGTAGAGAAGATGACTGGTCTGTAACAGACTTTAAAAAGAGACTTCGAAAGATTCTTTATTCATTGGCCAGGTTCATCTAATTTGGTTGGATGAGTATGTCATTAATTGTATCTAAATTATTGGTTGCCATTACACTTCATGGATTATGCTAACTCTATTAGGAATTAGCTCTCAAAGGTCAGGATTGGTTCCTTTAGGTTTCATTTCAGTGATTATGTCTTTAGTTCATCATAAATACTAAAACATTATCATTTTAAATGAAGTTAAATGACCATTTCCCGTTCTGTTTCCCATACGTCAGGGGATAAATTGCTATCCGATAGCCCTTCGTAAAGCTAGTTTTGCTGGTATTCTAAAAACAGCTACGATGGATGTGTGAAATAGTAATTAAAGTGTAGATCCATTACCAAGGGAAAAAGTTTTGATGATTAGAATAATGAAGAATGTCACATTGAGCTTCATTTACTGAAGCAATATTATAGTATGAAGAACAAGAATATAAAGTTCGTACCGTTTGGTGAATCCACAGAATAGTCATTCGGAAAATATGACTAAATGACTTCAAGGATTATTAATTACTACTTATAATTGACATCATTATCAATAGTAGTAACGTTTTATAAAGTATTATATTGCAAGGACGGCTCGTTGGCAAACTCCAGGAAGCCTCAAGAAGCCCGGAAAGAGCCGAAAACATTCCATCCAATCACCCTTAGAGGAACATTCTAGAATGTCCACGTGTAGCTTCCCTACTGGATGAATAAGAAAAACCCTCCTGTGTTCCTAATGCCTGTCCGAAATGATGATTTACTTTCAGCCAAAATCTATAAATACGTGAGATTTTTGTAGTATATTTGACACTGTTTGGAATAACATTCCTACTTACTGATCTGTTGTGGGACTCCTCATCCACGATCCCAAATCGCGAGATTTCAAGCCAGGACAAATCAGTCTCGCACCAGAGCACTTAACTGACAGATCGCTGAGCCGGTCGGCATCCAACAGTGTTAATGTCTCACTTCAATCAATCCAGGAAATTGAGCAACCAATCACCAATGTCTTCAGTGAGTTGATATCTCCCAACAGACCTGGTTGAACTCCACTGGTCACTACTGCTTCTCACTAGAACTCCATGAAATACCTCATGGAGCCAGTCACTAGTGAGCATATGATCATTATCAGAGAGAGGTTTTGTGGAGATTTCAGTAATTTTATATAGTTGAGATCATTAGTCAATTGAAGCTAGACGTTTACGTGATAGATTGATCTCAATTAGACAATCTCTAAGATTCATCTAATATATAACAATGAGTACGTTATGGTTACCAAGTCAATTGTTCACAACAAACATCCTATCAACAGTCAAATACAACCTCTCAACACCTTGTTCAAAACTCAATTCTACATAATCCCCACTCCAATCAACATTTTAAACAACAATGAAACTCGAAAAATTACACATCATTTTCACTCACATCCAGTACATTGAACAAATTCTTTTCCTGAAGCTGCATGGATTTGCAAGTACATCGGTTTCATTGAACCACTTATGATCTGTTGAATACTATCAGTCGAACACTCACTTCGACTATTAGCACAATTCTGATTGGTGAGATTACTGTTGTTTGTAACAGGATTGTTTGATGATGTCGATGACGATGTGGTATGCACATCCGATGTACTACTTCCAATATCTGTAATCAACGAACCACACAAATGATGTTGATTTCTTGCTAATGCAAGTTGAGCATTCTTCGAATCATCGAAAGCCACAATAGCAGTGTTACTACGTCGTCCATCTGTTAATCGTATGGCTACTCCACCAGGATGAACATTCAAACCGGTGAAATAATGAGCGATAGTAGCTGGTGTGGCAGTCCATGGAACTTGACGTATTTCAACAACTTGACTGTCCATTATTTTCAATTTACGTGAACTAATAAAATGGAATAAATAAATAAGACTATTACAGACTCTCACTAAAATCTAACAACTATACAGTAAACGGTTAATTTGCAAACTATCAATCAATTGTCTTAATCTTGACTGTTCCTTCTGTAAATACCAGTTCATTGTCTCCGACTATTATTGTTCATGCATGTTCATATCATTTGCCTTTCGTTCCTGTTCTTTCCTTATCGATCTTCTGCTGGAATACATTCAATGCCCGACCATCAATCTATACTACTTATATGTATACTAGTAACCCACTCACAACAGGCTAAATTATGAATGTCTTTTTATAAAGATTTACATTCCTTCATAATTTTATTTGAATTGTATATTTTCTTCTATGTATCTTCTTGTGTCAATCATAATGTTAACTTCATAATATAACTATTCAATATTTACTGGTTAGCAAGGATCATAGAACATCCCAATAGAATCTCCTTCACGTTATTTACTGAGATCGGTACCCCTATTTTCTTTTCTTTTATTGTATCCACAAATTCAAATACGTCTTTAATGCTATGCTTTAACCAATTCTTGCTGTAATGGTTCTAATAATTTCACCAACCATTTTGCTATCGAATGAAATAGTGAGTACGATATGTCCATAATTAGGAGTAAATAAACTTCAGGTTTATGAATCTTATGTAAAACATAAAATCATTTTATCATAATTTACTACTGAATGCCCCCAAATGCCCTGGTACAGCCGAGAGTGGGTGCGGGCCACCCTCTTTCTTGAAATGCCCTCACATGGTCATGCGTATATTGCCTCTGAAAGGAATGTCCTACTCACTGTCTTCTCGTGGCATTACTGTTGTTTACCAAATTGAAAGGACGAAAAGCGAATGTCCGGTGCTTTAACCGGGCTGGTGGACACGGAAAATCCATCTAGGGGAGTTGGAAAACCCTCAATCCAAACCAATGGTGAACATGGACTCCAGTATCCTGAGGGAACAAATGACGTATGAATCAATCGTTGGTCACTGGCTACCATGCGACTGCATTTCCTCACGATGCTCCACTGCCTTATGGATCAGACCTTTAGGTCAAATAGATAATTAATTACTGAATAGATGAAATTGATATAGCTATACATATAAAAGACAAATAACTTACAATGTTTTATGTTCATAATTATAACGTACATATTCAGGATCTTTCACTTGGTAACCTAGATAGAATTAAAATTCTAAATTAAATAATCACAGTTATCAATCATAAACATAGATTAAATATATAATTCATCAATCTACATCAACTTCATTGACTACGAGAAAGCATTTGATAGCGTGGACAGGACAACACTATGGAGGCTTCTTAGACACTAGGCGTGCCTGAGAAGATAGTCAATATCATACGGAACTCTTATGATGGATTAAACTGCAAAATCGTTCATGGAGGACAACTCACCGACTCATTCGAGGTAAAGACCGGTTTTAAGCAAGGTTGCTTATACTCACCCTTTCTTTTTTTCCTGCTGATCGACTGGATCATGAAGACGTCAACATCTGGAGTGAAGCACGGGATACAGTGGACAGATAGGATGCAGCTGGACGATTTAGAATTCTCAGATGATCTGACTCTTCTATCACATACGCAACAACAAATTCAGGAAAAGACGACCAGTGTAGCAGCAGTCTCAGCAGCAGTAGGTCTCAATATAAACAAACGGAAAAGCAAGATTCTCCGATACAATACAACATGCACAAATTGAATTACACTTGAAGGAGAAGCTTTGGAGGATGTGGAAATCTTCACATATCTGGGCAGCATCATTGATGAACACAGTGAATCTGATGCAGATGTGAGGGCGCAAATCGGCAAAGCAAGAACAGCATATTTACAGCTGAAGAGCATCTGCAACTCAAAACAACTGTCAACCAACAATAAGATCAGAATTTTCAATACAAATGTCAAGACAGTTCTACTGTATGGGGCAGAAACCTGAACTACGAAGGTGATCATTCAGAAGATACAAGTGTTTATTAACAGTTGTCTACGCAAAATACTTTGGATCCGTTGGACAGACACTATCAGCAATAAGCTATTGTGAGAGAGAACAAACCAGATTCCAGTGGAGGAAGAAATCAGGAAGAAGTGCTGAGAGCGGATAGTACACACATTAAGGAAGGAACCTAACTGCGCCACAAGGCAAGCGCTCACATGAAATCCTGAAGGCCGAAGAAGGAGAGAAAGACCAAATAACACATTACTCCGAGGAACGGAAACAAATATGAGAAGAATGAACAAAAACTGGATAGAACTAGAAAGGAAGGCTCAGGACAGAGTGGGTTGGAGAATGCTGGTCCATTGGAAGTAACAGGCGTAAGTAAGTAAGTAAGTCTTTCTTTTGAGAATTCTTATAATCTTTTAAAATATGAATACTGAATGACCTTACATGTTTACTTCATTTCAATAATGAATCGGTAGTTTTAGGCAGTTAGTTAAAAAGTCAAAATATTGTAAGATAATTGAAGCAATTATTCCCTTTGACGAATTTCGATAGTGTAATAAGAAGACGAAGATCATCAGAACTATGTAATGATATGGGAAGATTCAAACAAACAATACTGAGTGAATTTAAACTTCACCCCATTGCACAAGCAAGTGGCTATCAGCACTCAGTGGCCGAGTGGATAACGAGATGGTGTTTCGAGCGAAAATTACTGGGTTCGAGTCTCAGAGTGAAAGTTGACTTTGAGATGCAAGTATATCCATCTGACGAGTCCCAAATAGGACGAAACCTGCGTCCTGGATTCCACTTCTAGCTACTTTCCATCTTTATTAAGTCATTATTTCAAACAGCTAGGAAACTGTTGTATTGTAAGCAAAGATGGATAGTGGCTAGTAGTGGAATCCTGTTAATTAACGCCTGTCGAAAAAGTGCATCATCGGTCTTGAGGGCAATGAAGCTGCCTGATGTCACACTTCAATCTGATCGATAGAATTCAACCTGGACTGTGAAGTAGACAAACATGACACTGACCATTTACCACTCAGTGATCGATCAATTTGAATCGGATTTCAAAACATATTACAATACTATGCTTTAAATTATGTTGAATATTGTAAGCGAAGATGGATATAGGCTAGCAGTGGAATGCAGGACGCGCGTTTCGTCCTATTTTGGACTCATCAGCTGGATAAACCTGCAACTCAGAGTTGATGTTTACTCTGGGACTCGAACCCAGTACCTTTCTCTTCAAACGCCATTGAGTTATCCACTTACCTACTGAGTCCTGATATCCATCTCTACTTAACATGCTTGTGAATTAAGGCTATATCGAGGCAATACGCACAGTATGCACATATGCCAATTAGAGACTGACCAGTTGCTGTCCTAAAACGATCGATGTGAAGATTCAAACAAAACAATACTAAGTGAATTCAAAATATAACTAACCTTTCTTAGTCAATTCAATTACTATATTTGACATTAATTCAGCTTTAATATTGGCTAGTTCAGTCTCTTCCCAATCAATTTTCAATGCTGTAAACAGATAAGGAAGAGAAAAACATATTAGGGTGGGGGTATTAATTCACAGTTATACAAATATTTCATACCAAAACAATGCAGAAAAGAAACACTGATTGTAGTTAATGATCGGTCACAATCTAGGTTCTCAAGAGAAGCTATCATGAGAGATGTGAGGAGAAATTTTCATGATTCCCTTTTTCTGCATCAAGACTATGATTTATGAATGAACCAATCAGATTTAAGAGAACAGCTAATGGATTTCGGCAAGAAATTCATACATCCAATAGCGTCTTGACATTTTAGTTGATGTCAGTTCATGATGAAAACTGTAAATCTAATTCCTAATACTATCCATCAGCTGAAAATCATAATCTTAATTCCTCACACTGGTTTTCAACTGTTATTTATCTTTAATAAGTAGGTGGACATTATCGAGGTCACTTTACGTCGCTCAAAGGTCATCCATAAACATTAGTCACACTGTTTCTACTGCTGAAGATGTCCAAAAGAGTAACGAAAGCTTAATGAATAAATAATACAGCTTCCATAAAACAATATCTGTAAAATATTACATGACTATGTCATTCATATTTTTCTGGTTAGATTTTGTTTAGCGAGTTAGTTTTCTACAGGATGGAGTCGCTAACCCCATGCCCAATCCTCCGCCTTTATCCGGGCTTGGGACCAGTAGTAACTCCAGATGGGCAGAAGCTTGGAGAACTACGAAGGCGATCATTCAAAAGATACAAGTATTTATCAACAGTTGTTTATGCAAAATACTTTGGATCCGTTGACCAGACACTATCAGCAACAACCTACTGTGAGAGAGAACAAACCAGATTCTAGAAGACGAAGAAATTAGGCAGAAGCGCTGGAAGTGGATAGTACACACATTGAGGAAAACACTCAGCTGCGTCACAAAACAAGTCTTCACATGGAATCCTGAGGGCCAAAGGAAAAGAGGAAGATCAAAGAACACATTACGCCGAGAAATGTAGACAGATATGAAAATAATGAACAACAATTGCATAGAACTAGAAAGAAAGGCTCAGGACAGAATGGGTTGGAGAATGCTGGTCAGCGGCTATGCTCTATCAGGATTAACAGGCGTTAGTAAGTAAGTCAGTGTTATTCGTAAGATGTTTGTGCATTTTTCAAATACGTTATAAAAATATATAATATTCCTTTATTTATTAGGCTTTTCAATTATTAAAACTACTAAAAACCAATGAAATAAACATTAGTCATACAACTGTAAAGATGAGCTTGTCAAAATTAGACATTCTCTATGTTTTTCACTGAGGCTGTGAACTTCTGTATTGCAGTCAAGTGTCAATATGTAGTTTTGCCACCACATGCCCTGGTATGGTCCAGAGTGGGGAGAGTCCGCTCTCCCTCTCGAAATGCTCTCACATGGCCATACGTATATAGCCTCTGACAGGGAAGTCCTAATCACTACCTTCTCGTGGCATTACTGTTGTTCACCAAATTGAGAGGAACAAAAAGTGAATGTCCAGTGCTTTAACCGGGTTGGTGGACACGGAAAGTTCACCTAGGGGAGTTGGAAAATCCTCATTCCAAACCAATGGTGCACATCGGCTGCAGTATCCTGAAGAAAGAAATGGTATGTGAATCTATTTTTAGTCACCGACTACCATGAGACTGCACCTCCCCACGATACTCCTACTACCTTGCGGATTAGGCCTCTAGGTTAAAGGTTCCGTGTGTGGCTCCCTGTTTGGGCACCTGGTCAGTATCACAGCCCTCACACAAATCACATGAAATTTTTGTGACGCATATATATCTGGTGCCCCCTTGTACCAATATTTATGTGTTTAAATAAATAAATATGTAGTTTGGAAGCATTGAATAACTTATGGATTAATGCACTTAGAATTCGGATAGTATTCATAATGATCAATTAATGACTATTGATTTATCAGTTAAGCAGTTGCCACCTACTCATAGTGCATCATAGTGAATAAATCGATAGATATGTCACCACAAAATAATATGCTGTTATAATGATATTCAATTGAATGAGTTTAATATAACATCAGCAAATTAGCCAATATATATTAATAGGAATATATTGATCCTGCCCAGGACAGTGTTGAATGAAGAATGCTGGTGGGTGACCTATACTCCTCAACAAGGAGTGATAGACTTTAGTAAGTAAGTAAGTAATATATTGATCCACTTTATAAATTCAGAAGACTTTGTTAAGTTTAATGAGTAATGTGTTGATGTTTACCTGAACAGTTAGAGAAAATAGAATGATATCTGAAATCTCAGTTTATTAATTTGGATGAATCTGATCATATACTCTAAATACTGGGTAGTACTTTTGCAAAGGGAGATTTAGTGGGGGAAAACCAATTTATTGCTCAGGACGAAGTTACATAGTGGATTAGTAAGATGTGAAAATCATACTTTAAATACGTCATTTGCATAGCTTCCTTCCATCGCCCTTTTAATTACTCTATTACTCTTCTAATTCTGTGGTTGCTCATCATTTTAATCTTCTATTAACAGGCATTCCACTTCCGATTGACGCTACATACCACTTATGTCTGTCAGCATAAGTAGTATATGCCACAATACAATAATATTCGGAAATGGTCTCAATGATTTAACTCTCTTATTTATTAAAAATATATGACAATATAATCCTAAATATAATGGAAATAGAAAACTGAAATTTACTTGATAATGAAAAGAATATGAATAGAGTTTCTAGAAAGCTACTATATTTTATACACTTGGTGTTGTATATTTGTATCTTCCCATTGTGATTTAGGACTGCAATTGATCAGTCTCCTGTTGGCATATGTGCATCCTGTGCGGACTGCCTAGATATTGCCTTAAGTAACAAGCTTTATAAGCAAAGATGGATAGTGGCTATCAGTGAAATCCAGGACGCGTGTTTCGTCCTTCATGGTACACATCAACTGGATATACCTTCATCACAGAGTTTATGTTCACTCTGAGACTCGAACATAGTACCTTTCGCTTCAAACACCATCGCCTTATACACTCAGCTACTGACGAAACGCGCGTCCTGGATTCCACTGATAGCCACTATTCATCTTTCTTTACAATGATTGTTAAATAAGGCTATATCGAGACAATACACACGGTATGCACATATGCCAATAAGAGACTGACCAGTTGCAGTCTTAAAAACATCAATGGGGAGATTCAAACAAGTAATAATAAATGAACGTAACTATCAATATTGATTGTTGAATCTTATTAAAATCATGGACCGACTCAAATTAGATATTCATTGAAAATCTGTAAGTACTGAACCGCTGAGGAGTCTCTTACTATACCGGAAATGATGTCAGTTCGTGATCTCAATAACAGTGTACTATCTAAACACTCCTCATACTAGTACTTATTGACACGAATTGAATTCTATGATTCTCACTCATAATACACAAGCATACGACTGATATATAAACTCGTTCATCACATTCATTATCTCAAAAAAGACGAGAATAGAATTTGTAGGCGAAAAATGATTCACTACGTGTGTCGTTCCCGACTATAATCTCTTCAGTTTACTTCTACCACTTATTATTCTTACTTTTAAAACGATTCCAGCAACGGATCATAATGGTAAGCTTAAAAATTGTATTTGCTACTCAATACTTGGCCACATTGCAACTTGATCGATAGCATTTGATCAGCACTAAGACGGACTTGACATGCATGACATTGGTCAACACCCAGTGATCAATCAATTGTGACTTGATTCATTATTAGCACTTCAAAATTTCTCATGAAGTTAAAGTTAGATCAGTTATGTCAATCAATACAAGTGACCTAATTGCTTAGTTTTATTCAAATTTATGTAATATAATCTTCATTGCAGTTCAAGATGGAATTAGTTTGAGTTTGTATCATTCGTATCATATTACAAATCTAAATGCATACGGATGATGATATGAATGAACTGTGGGTTATTTATAAGGCTTTAACATTCTTATATGTTAATTAGGTACAATATTTTTATAGCTTTGTACATTTGTCTTTGTACATTTCTACTTATCCAATCTTTGCATAGTTGAAAGTATGAGTCAATTGAAGCTAGACCACCAAGGAAAACCTGGAAGCACTAGACGGCCGTTTCGTCCTATTGTGGAACTCCTCAGCAGTGCGCGACCACAATCCCGACTCGCGAGATTCGAACCCACGACCACTGCTGAAGAGTTCCACAATTGGACGAAACAGGTGTCCAGTGCTTCCAGGTTTTACTTGTTGGTCTAGCTTCAATCGACTCATGCTTTCAACTATGCAGATACTAAATCTCCACAAAAAAACTCTTTCTGATACTTATCCAATCTTCCTTTCTGCTGTAAATACTACAGTAACTGTCAACATTTATTCATTGTATATAGTGTAGTTTAATCTACAATCACTTAGAACTCGTGAAAATTGCTTACTTCTTTGATTCTTTGTTGAAATCTTTCATCAGATTAGGTACCTTAAGCCATAAGTTTGAACTCTTATCAATCTACTAGAGTTATATCGGTCAGTCACTGACTTGAGTGTAATCAGGATAATTGAACTCTCTATCTCTCTCTATCAATGAATCAAGACCTTAGTAACTAATATGATTTAACTTACCTATTGGGTTGCAATGCTAAGTTATTTTCCTATCAAATATTAAACATTAGCATACAATCATAATAAATAAATGAAATATGTATGAAATTTTTCTCTTATTAATCTATTTCATAGTTCTAGTGTGGTGTGGTCTACTTATATCCATATAAGTAGTATATGGTGTGGGTCAGACATAGAATGTATTTTGGCGGAAGATCGATGAGGAAAGAACTGAAATGAAGCTCAATCGTTTGGAAAACGCATGAGCAATGGAATAAGAGAAGAAACAGTGAAGATTGAAACAATTGGTTGTTAATTTGCAAATTGACTGTTCATTGTTTGGTTATCAGAATTTACTGAGATAGTCTGTAATCTTTGCTTAAATACATTTGATTGTC